TCAACCCTTGTAACTACTAGGACAACACTACCCTTTTTCCAGTGCTGAAATGAGAGCTTGGAATACTTACTTTTTTGAAAAAGAGTTCCCATGACTCTCTTGGTCCACTGTGGTGCTTGATGGGAATTGTAATTCAAACGTCACTTCCTCAAAATCCTGATTGAGATGACATTCAGTTCTTTCAACTGGCCTCTGTGTGCAGAATTAGAATACCCTTGTATGCCTTGCATGTGAGAAGCCTGAACTGTTAATTTTAGGTATCAGCAAAGTGTTGAACTATATGACCTTTTGAGTGCATCTATATTGTAGAATGTGTATCATCACGTTAGCTGCCATGGTTGCTATGGATTCCTGGGCGTTGTAGTTTGGTGAGACAACAGCCCTCTTTGGCAGAGGCTAAGGACCTTGTATTCACATCATTGAGCCTTGGCAGTTTAAAGTGACATCAAACCACATTCATTCTATAGTGCAGACACATACCTCTCCTCCAGTTTCCTTTCCAGTTCTACAGTTCTGTGATTTGTGGGATCAGGGCATTATTCAGATGTTCCGCATCATACATTGTTACATTTCTGAACTTTTTACAATGTTTAGGATATTGCTTGGTACACAATTGCAATGAAACATATCCCCCTATATGGTGCATGTGATATGTCTATATGTGGAGGATAGAACTGTTTCCAGTTTGGAAACATTGTGTTTCTACAGTCGACTAGACTGAACATATTAACATTTTTGTTGTTCTCCTTCCCCAGCAAATGGCTCTTTCCCATTTGTCAATCAAGCATGGAGATTCCATCAAAGTGAAGGGGAAAATTGAACCAGACGCAAAGAGGTTTGTATTAGTGTTATATGTGGGCACACCTGCCTTGATACACTTATTTCTGAGTTAGAGTTGCTAGGTTGGCAGCTGAGAACAACACACTTTAGTTTTAGCCCACATTTGAAGCAGTATAAGGTATGTTCATACAAAATCCTAATTTCAGACAAAACATTGTTTCCAGTTGTTAAAAAGGGTATGGTAAGTTATCTCTGGGTAAGATATTTTCCCTAGAAGTGATCCTTTACTTGAGCAGATAAAGTAGTGCAACACGGTGGGTGTGAATCCCATTGAACAAAGATTTATTGCTACAGTCATAAATGTATTTATTTACTA